TGCTCATTGCACCGTAAACTTCGAGAATAAAATTTATGTTTTAAGGTTTAGCGAGCATCATACCTTGACGAGCGAGGCAATGACGACGACGAGGTAGAAGGCACTACACAATCTTTCTTTCTCTCTTCCTTTTTTTTAAGTGATACGAATCATAATATGGAGGGAAAGAGAGAGGAGATGACTGTAGACTCTTTGTTAGATATAAAATGGAAAGTTTGGTTGCTATTTTGGCTGATTATAGAGGTAGGAGAGTTTGTTGATGTGTGCTGCTTAATGAATGGGGAGAAAGAGGTGTTTGTTGTTGGCTGTTTTGGGCCTTTAAGAGGTGTGTGAGTGGGTTGGAGTTTGATTTAAGCTAACTGGAAGAGGTATGGAGGTGGAATGGGCTTGTTATTGGAGTTGCTGGAAGGGAGAATAGGAGGCTGTTGAGGTATTTTGGGCTAGGAATTGAAGTGGGATTTATGTAGTAGGTAATGTGAAGTGTAGTGGGCTGCTTGGCTAGTGGTGTAGGAGTTGGATTGAAGTGGTTGCAAGTGAAGATGGGCTGATTTAGGTTGTTGGGTAGATGTAGGAAAACTGTTGTGAGTGGGCGAGATGAGTTTGGGCTACGGGTGATTAGGTAGGAGGAGAGGAGGGCTTTGTTGGGCTTGAGAGGGGTTGTAGGTGGGCTGTTTGGGATGAACTGAGTGAGGAGGATGTTTTGTGGGCTGCAGTTTGGAAATGTGGAGGAAGAGTTGAGGTGTGGGCTAATCTTAAGTGGCTGGTTCTGGAGTGCAAACCAAGGGAGGAAAAGCTGTAGGTGGCTGCAAGGGAAGAGGAGTTGCTGTGGAGGCCGTGGAGTAGAGGTGTTAGTATTATAAAGGACGGACGGGCTGCTGGTCTGGGAGAGGAGGAGCTGGTTACGTGAACAGATACGGGAGGGAGGCCGGCCTGGGTCAATTAGAGAGCAGGAAAAGTGTTGTAGCAGGTTGGAGAGGGGAGCAGCAGCTGCATGGGAGATTTCAGCCTGTTGCTGGGAGCTATTCAGGCGGGTAGAGAGGAGTAGGCTGGGAGAAGTGGAGGCTTCACGGCAGCAGATGGACTTCGTTTTGCAGGGGGATCAGGTGGTGATGAGTTTGAATGGAGGGCTTGCCGCAGTGGAGAGGAAATGAGATTTAGTTTAGGATTTTTCTCTTTTTTTATTATATCTTTTCTGTTCTTTGACAGGATAAAGCAGTTAGGATGGAAAAAAATCGTGGGTTGAAGCAGAATTAGGTGGGTTTTGTGGCTGCTGAGGGCAGGATATGGGGATGGGGCAGCAGAATTTTGAGTCGTCGCCCAATCCCTCGTTATTTGTTCATCTCGATTTGCATGGCTTCATCTCAAAACTCGTATCAATTTTGTATTTTCATTTTGGCAAGGAACCATACAATATTGTAGGTCATTTATAGGTATTCTTGACATTCCAGACACAACGACGAAGTCCATTTTTGCAAGTGAGCGATGTTCGAGCAATGTTGCATAATGTTTGTCCGTATTTTGTCTATTTCGATCAGCTTTGCTTGATTTGAGTGCAAGAGGTCCCTGCTTCGACGTCCTGATCATATCGACGTAGTCCATTTGACCATCGGAGATCGTTTGGGTGTTTTTGCTAGCGTCGCGCCTGCTAACATTTGTCGATAATTCACACCTTTGCTTGCATTGACCATGACACATATGAAGGTCAACTCAATGAAGGGTAGAAAATGTGCTTGTTGGATGTAAATAAGATTTGTGTAAGAGGATTTTGGAGAAAAATGGGTATAATTGCTAATACATTGGTAGAAATTATTCAAAATGATTTGCGAAGGATATGTTTAACACTTAAAATAACATTCAACAATAACAATTAAAAAAATAGGATTTATAATCCGGACCCCAAAATAATTGGGATATGCCTTATGGTAACGATGCTTGTGTATTAGAAAGGGGAAGGGGTAGAGTAAGGTATCTTGTCTAGAAGTTGTGCATAAAATTTTTCAAAATACTTAACACCTAGTGTAGGTCTTAATTGGAATAAACAAAAATGGGGATTCATAAAGTCGAGCCTACTTAATTGTGTTCACGCTACTATATGTTACTCATGCGTATTTATTATGTTTTATATAAGAATTTTAGTTCATCATTTTGACTCATCATCTTGCGCTTCCAATAACTAATTATTTTAGATAATAGATAAAGGAAAGTAATTACTAAAGTGAATAAAAGACGACGTCTTCCACCATTACATGAACATAACTTCCCTTGGTGTTGTTAATTGCACTTGCATTGCACTTGAACAAATCCTATGTCCGACTAGAGTCCAATTCCCCCTTCAAAAAAAAAAAAAAAAAAAAAAAAAAAAAGGCCAAATTAAAAAAATAAAAAATTTTTGCATCTATCATATTATTCAGTTTCCTTGTTTACTGTAGTTTAGAATTGTGTATTGCTTACTGAGCTTTAGCTTAATGTTAGTTGTTAACATTTTCAGGTGAGCTTAATTTTATTCAATGAGTAGAAGGGGCGGCATTGTTTATCGTAGGGCAGGAGCTCCGGAAGAAAGGTAAGGACGAAGAATATGTTTGCTTATATGTTTATGTGATTTCAAACTTTATTGTTATAGTGGCTCTTTCAAAATTTATTGGAGATTTATTTAGGGAATTGATAGATTTAGGAATTTAGATACTTGACCTACCGTCCGACCTCTGTTCCCGCCTCGCCTACGCGAGCTAACCGGGCCGGGTCGTGACAGGAATAGTGTCTCAAATAACTATACTAAATAGTTAACAAGCCCAATGAACGCAATGATTGAACCTGGCCAATGCAGATATTTAATTGAACCAGAGAATCATAATAGTACAGAACATCTCTCGTTCTCATGGACTCAAAAGCATGTTTATCAAATAATAAAAAATGTATCATCATCCTCAATTATTCACTAGGCTTCAAGTTGGGGGCCATAAATGTAAGCTTTCCCTGGATATTTTCACCTGTTTAATAGATATGTATATCTTTAATAGATAGCTTCATAGCCCTATCTTTGGCATTGTCTATAATGTCCTATCTATAATGTCCTAGAATCTAATGAAAGATTTTAACCTATGCTACCCACAGGCTTCTCAACCCCCCCAATGATACTCTTACCTAGCCATCTAATCATCCGATAAATAAAATACAATATCAGAAGATACAAGGCTTCTCTTCAGATTTTCCTTTCACCCATAATTCCAAAATAATAGCCCAAAATACATTAATAACAACAAACTGCCTAAATATATTTTTAACTAACAAAATAATATGTACCTTACAGACTCAAAACTCCTGCTCCCTATCAAAAATAACCTACTTTGCATGGTCCTTCCCTTTTCCTGAAATATTTTAAGGAATAGTATGAGTACAAAACTCAATAGACCAACCTTTCTTCATAACATAATTCAATTTATAACTTATAATTGAAATAAGAAAGACAAAAAAGACTTTGCATTTTTATTCTAATTAATACTCGAAAAGGATTTATAAGTTATAGAGTGTGGCAGCGGAATGAGTTAAACTCACATGCTAATATGGATGCAAAAATGTACATGTATTAATGCCTACTTATAACTCCCATTTCATCACATTCTACTTGCTTAGGCAGGTGCAGAGCAAAACCAGAACATAGAAGAATATTTTCAAAACAGAGCTATTGCAGAGCCATAACATAATATAGTACAAAGTAGATGTACATATGCATTGGGCTTAACCACATAATTTCATTGTGCACTTTCCATTCCATCAAAGAGCTTCAAAATATCATGAAAGGCACAAGGATGCATATTTAGTGTATAACTAAAGAATTAAAACACGATGTATTCAATGTCTAATTTTACAAGAATTACCAAAAATTTCAGATGCTTACTCAAAATTTTTGGAATATTACAAATTTCACAGAGCGATGTAACATATCAATTTAACATATTTTGTCAACTACACTGAGGTTTAGAAATGATCCATGTATCCAAAATTCTCAGAAATTCATACAGGGCAAACCAATTGGTGGATATTTGCATTCTTATAGTCAATTTGTTCAGAACAAAGTGTAGGGTATTACACTAAAATTTGTGTGTTGTTGTTATTTTTTTTTTCACATATAAGAAAAAAAACACATTTTTAAGCCTATCTTTTAATTGAAACACCAAAATTGAAATCAGATATAGAGCGTAGCTTGCTCACATTGAGCCAGACAATTTCCTTAATTAGATTGATAGACGTTTTTTGGGTTATGGGCTTCTGGATTCCAAACATTCTCCCATTCTTTTTCTCTCCTCTTTTTCTTCTGTTCCTCTTTTCCGACAAGGATGGTTGGGGGTGATGGATTTAGCAAATGGAGTAAGATATTTCTTATTTTAAAAACACTCATTTTGACCCTCAAGACTGTAGCGTTGCCCTGAATATTCCAGATTCTCGCAGAATCTCACAAACAAAGATCTTGACTCTACGGTGGCGTCACCCAACGCTACAACACCTTCCTAAAAGCAGCTCTCAAACAGAGAGATCAATGCCGCAACGCCAATGTTCCTAGCACCGCATTTTAGCGAATTGAGTTTCTCTATCCCAAGTCAAAATTTTGGACTTATCTAGGGTCAATCTAGTACCATATGACTTAAAATAAAGTATCAAACTCCGAGTAAGTCAATTACCTGAATTCAAGGACAGTGGGTGTTACGTTGTCTTTCTTGAAAAGTGTTTTTTGTTTTTAATATTTTAATTTTACAATTCCTTGTAATTTACATTCTTTGTACTCATTTTATTATCTTGATATAATATTATGCTTTATTTAAAAAGTTGTCTATATCTCGTTGTTATTGACATCTTTATCATACTGAAATCTTTGTAATCTAATGGTGCAATTGATCTTTAGGCATGAAAGACATGTCTTGTCTATCTATTTTGACATGATGATTTTGTCATAATAAATCTCAGATTTTCTTGAAATGCATGCACGATTCATTATCACCTTGCAGGACTGCGATTGTTGTGTATCAGTTGTTCTACAAGATGGTGCTTGGGAAGAGCTTCAATTTTGGAGAAATTATTCAGTTCTTATCACGTGTTTCACTTGGAGCGTGTGTATTCTTTTCTTACCTATTATTTATTGTTCTGTCATAGATGATTCTTATCATCAAAGCCTCTTAATGTTCAGTGTAGCTCTTGGACTAGCTTTCGGAATAGCATCTATACTCTGGCTTGGGTTCATCTTCAATGATGCAGTCATCGAGATTGCTTTAACTCTGGCAATCAGCTACATCACGTTTTACACTGTAAGTTTTTTGTGGAAAAATTGGCTTTATTTTCTTGTACTCCTGTTCATGATGTGTTGGAGTCTTTCTTAGTGTTCATGATGTGTTGGAGCCTTTCTTGGTAATAATCTCCTTCAACTATCTTCTTGTAATCAAGATTCCTATCTGAGATTTTTGTTAATTAAATGTTCGTGTGGTCTTATTTATGCATTCCTTGCAGAATTTTTACTATTTTTACTCCATATCTAACTTTTTGTATTAGTACTGTTGGAGAATTTTTGTATTCTCAAACGGATTGCATATTTTATAATCGAGTACGGCATAAGAATATGATATATTACCCCGAAGGGTAAAAATACCATTTCCTTATGGACTCAATAATAAAATTTACAATTATTAACAGAGATTCCCCCACTCGATGTTTGGTCGAATGGGGTTTATTTATTTCTGGGGTACAGACATCCCATAGGGGCAAGCCCCTATGATTAATTACATCCCAAGCTTTAGTGCTTGAGAAAACTTTTGATTAAACTAGTGATTTTGCTTTTCTTGGAAGTCATTTTAGACATTGGCTAAAGTTTGCTTTTTGAAATCCATAAAAGTCTTGCTTAAAGGTTTTAGCCCTTTAGAATTTCAAGGAAGAGGCTGATCAACTTAGAATCATATTTTTGGAATGAGAGCCAAGGGAGGCGAAGTAGGAGCACTTGATTCTGAGGGAATCTCAGAGGTGCTCAAACTATCCTATGTTGGGCTTTACATTTTAGCAATCTAATTTTGGTTTAAGTTGATATTTTATTAGAAAGTTGGAGCTTACATTCCAACAACATATGTTGAAGGAATTGCCCGAAAGGTGAGGGCTTATAGGATGATTTGGAATCAACCAATGCCTCGGACGCTAAAACTAAGGTGAGAACTACTGATAGGTAGTACCTCGAACCTAAATCTAACGAGTGCAAAGGGGCTTACAGACTACACCTCACAAGAGGTATAGCATGCCCGACCTCTGGATTTATTGTCCCGCCTGGAAG